GGGGGTTTAATTTTTGAGTTATCTCAAGCAGTTTTTTTTAGATATTGCACATTTTGTGACTTTGGGTATAAAGATCTATTTTGAGAAAATTAACTCTTAAGTTCAATTGGTTCTAATGTAAATCTAACTATCCATGGAAAATTAATTTCCAATTAGGCGTTCAAATCATCAAGGTCATGATTAGAAGTCAATGATAAAACATAACTGGGAAAAGAAAAAGTGCTTCAGGAATAGATTTTAACACCTTTTAAAAGGTCTTTTTAAAACATACCCTACCCTCAAAATAATTCAAAATAGAATATTTAGAAGTCAAGTCAACGAAAACACTTTTAACGCATTGTTAAAAAATGGTGGAACTATCATTTTTAAAAATGGAAACACACTTTGGTCAAAAAAGTGATTTTTTGTTATTATCAGCCTGTAGCTCAAAATGTATTTTATAAAAGTTTTAGCGTAGTAAATAAATACGCTATGGTAAAAAAAACGAGCACTGAAATCGCAATCGTCATTTTATCAGCAAAAAGTGAAAAGAAGTTCATTAACATTTGATAAAACAAATTCTAATTATTAAAAAATTGTAAAAAGCATGACATTAGCTTTTACAATAATATGTCTGCAGTAGCATGCGTAACACGAAGGTATTGACTTGCTGAAATATTCTTACATAATGATAGAGCCTGTCTGTAACCTAGTTGGGTTTTTTTTCTTAAAGACAATCCTGTTCTACTTTTTCACATCCCTTCGAATTAAACAGGAGGAATACCAGACACTTTGTTATTTCATGACTACAGTCTGAGAGACACCGTGACACAGAAAGAAATCTTAATGTTATCCCTCATATGCAGTCACACGGCCATAGAATTGGGCTTTCATTTTGAACGTGTGCTCGTATAACCACAGCTAGCTAAATACCAGTTTAGTGGCTCAGACGAAAATCAAACAAGACCAAGGAGTATCCACGTGAGGATAATTAGATACCTGTCTATTTGCTGGTATGTCTTTTCATCCATTGGTCTGTCTATCTGATTATCTGTTTTTCTCTTTTTATTGGATTCAATTTGTCCTTTATGGAATATCAACTGGATTCCTGCGTGATTATTTTAAGAGTTTTTGATGTTCTCATCTTTATCAAGGTGTTAAATGGCCCTTTTCATGTTGGCAATTTAGCACAATAATAATAACAACTACCACTACAACAACAGCCACGCCACCAACAACAACAGCAGCAGCAAAAGCTGCCACAATAACAACAACTACTACAACATCGGATAAAACAGCAACAACACGACATGCAATCAAATTCCCTATGCCGATATGGAGATTAACATACAATTCATTTCACCTTTTGTTTCTGATAATTTGATGTTATTTCAGCTGTGGTCTGAAATGCAATAAATTCAAAACTTCCTCTGCCCAGCATCAAGTGTGAAATTCGTATCCGAATGGGGTCTAAATTATACTGGGTGATTAAAAAAGAATACACCAATATCATTACAAAATATTTTTAAAAAATGAAAAACAACAGAAGACACTAGCTTGGACACATCTATTGTACATACCTATAAGTTTTTATTTCTTGTTTTAAAAGTGATCAATGTAGCCATCACTGGCAGCCTGGACAACATCAAGCCAATATGAGAATTCCTCCCAAAAGTTCCCTCAGGATGTCTTGGTCCACCGTGTTCATTGTAGCTGTTATTCCCTCTTTCATGACCTTGATATTTGCTGCAAGTGGTGGAACATAAATTTTGTCTTTAACATACCCCCCCCCCCCACACAAGAACTGTCTTTTCACTTTAATGCAAGTAGGTTAAAATAACTTCATTTTTAACTAGATGGAGCACCGCCCCATTGGCATCTCGGGATTTGAGCTTATCTGAATGAAAATGTGACTCAGCGGAGGCTTGGTAGGAGTGGTGTTAAAGACCTCGCTCTCTGCGCTTGGCCAGACAGATCCTCGGACCTCACTGTGTGTAATTTTTTTCTTGTGGGGGTATGTTAAAGGCAAAGTGTTTGTTGCACCAATTTCAGCAAATATCAATAACATGAAAGATTGACTAACAGCTTCATTGAACACGGTGGACCAAGACATCCTGAGGCGCGTGTGGGAGGAATTCTCTTAATATCGGCTTGATGTTGTCTGTGCTGCCGGTGGTGGCCACAGTTAGCACTTCTAAAACATGAAATGAAAACTTGAAAGTATGTACAACACATGTGTCAAAGCTAGAGTTTTCCTTTGCTTTGGTTAAAGAAATATCACGTAATGATTTTTGGTGTTTTGTTTTTAAATCACCCCGTATGTCTCGTAATTCTAGGAAAGTTCCCTGTCCTCTTTCGAAGTGACCTACATTATATATAGCTAAGCGTTCAACAATTCAACTTCTACAAAGATTGCAACAATGATACAAGAGGTAGCAGACGCACAAAAGCGCAATAATGACATCATCATCATCATCATCATCATCATCATCATCATCATCATCATCATCATCATTAACAACTACAACAACTACTACAACAACAACAATGACGGACCCGTCCAATCTGACTGTTGTCGAGACACTGAGTGAGAAAGGCGCCATTTACACGTGCTCTTTCGAGGAAGAGAGGAGAGCCTTGGACATGGCTCTTGACTGGATTGACAAACAGTGTGATGCATCCAGCTCGGTCGCTATCTTCACTGACAGTCAATCGCTATGCATGGCACTAGTGGGAACATCACCATCCCTTGACCAAATGAGACTACGCATAAATAATGCAACACCCCAACCAACGATTCAGTGGATCTCGGGTCGCTGTGATATCCTCGGCAACGATCTTGCTGACAGTAATGCCAAACTGGCGACAGTGCTGCCAGGTCCAGGCTGCCAAATTACATATGAAAGTGCATGGGCCCAGATAAAACTCATCACAGAAGACCCTCCGCTCTTTCCACTAGCGAACGAAGGAAATATACTGGGCAATTTCCTTAAAACGAGAGGCTCAAATTAAGTCCCGCAGAGACCAGGCACTACTGGCAAAGATCAAGACCGGTCACTTCTCTGGGCCGCGGGCCAACAAAAATAGAATAGACAAAACATCAGACCCAATCTCTCCATTGTGCAGATTTCGAGCACTCGCTGCCGAGATGTCCCGCCACGGAGGTCAGGCGGTGGCAGCTCTTTGGGGAGGATTCAGGGAGTTTGGACTGCCTCGACCGCTACACAAGAGAGGCAGTGGCCCTGGCGAAGAGCACACTCTTCGGGGCGCCAGATATTTCGAACGGATAGGCTACCACACACACAACAACAACAACAAAAACAACAACAACAACAATATTATCAGTTATAAGTCAACTTTGCTTAACCTGTCTTGTCTTGCCTTCCCACACACTCGTGCACAGCCTCTCTACCATGCTGCTAGGTCTCACTCTTAATGCCTGATGGAATAGTATGCTCAATTTTGTCGATTTCCACGGTAAGACTGTAATTGTAAGGTCTGTTCTGAAAATAGAAAGGGATCTGGATCAAGTTCTGACAAGCAAACTTGGGATAATCAAGCTGTTTGTTACTTCGTGTTACTCGCCCTACCTTTTCCGTAATGTTTTACCCTACTCCTGTTACCTTCAATTGCTTTTTTTCACTCCACTGTGCATCTTAAAGTTAACCACCTTTATGCGCAGTAAATGCAAAAACAATTACCCTCTAGAGTTAGAAGACTTTTAGCGTGTCATAATAATATAATGAAAACTGAAATAGAACGCCTCGGCCTCTCTAAGATCAGTCATGATAAGGGCATCTGCCCTATTGTTTGCCACTTGTCAATCGAGACGTACTTTTTTCTAATTTCCTCCAAAGGAGAGGCTCATCTTAAACGAAATTAAAGTATCAGTCATACATGTGGTTTAGCTACAATTTCTCGCTAAACCCTCTTGCTGAGTTAATTGCAGGATCATGACATCTATTAAGAATGGAACCCAAGTTCTATTCCCATGATTCCTTTTTTCTGCTAAGATGTTACAGTCTGGGCTCAATCTTGACTAGCAGAATCGAAGCAGTCCGCTCCTAAAATATCTAACTTTGACTGGTGGGAGTGTAGAAATTAAGCACATATTCATTGTAGGAACTGCATTATTCACACCAGGTGGCAGTCCTCTTCAGAAGCTTGCACAATGTCGGAAGCAAACGTTGAAGTTGTTCGTTTTGGAACCACTGACTATGTGATGCTGGGCATCATGCTCGTTGTCTCCATGGCAATTGGGATGTTCTTTGCCGTGTCTGGAAACCAGCAAAAGACTAAGGTAAGAGAAAGCATTTCTTTCTGGGCGCTGTCCTTCAACTGCAGGGCGCAGTCCCCCAACAACAACCTCAACTCTGATTTATCCCTTGTGAGTGTGTGTATGTGTGTGTGTGTGTGTGTGTGTGTGTGTGTGTGTGTGCCTGGGTGTGTATGTGTGTGTGTGTGTGTGTGTGTG